AATTTTCCAAAAGCAGTGATTGAAATGTGCCAAAGGAAGTTTTAACCTGCAGATGGTGCAACAGTAGGAGAAAGAGAATCACCAAAGTCTGTCGGATTTATCATCTGGGGACCACGAATGTGCTTTTAATAATAATGATAATAATAATAACAGCATTTTTTGGAGCTGGTCTGTTCTTGCAGGGACACTGAACAGCATCACTGTTAGTGTCATTAGCCACATTTGTTTTTCCTGCTATGATGATGAGTCAGAATATCTGCAGTTGAAATGAACGTCTGAATCCAGGTCAGAGTCACCAGAGGAAGAACAAACACCAGCTGAGGAAACGAGGAGCAGAATCTGGTGTCTGAAGCCACAGGACTGGATCTGACAGAACTACAGCGTGTTTTACTGTAAGTCCAGTGTCAGTACTGTGAAGAGCGAGTACAACACAGAGTCAGTGAAGCACCAGCACTGTGGCGCCTCCTGCTGTAAATCAGTCAATTGTCGCCCCCCAGTGGAGGATCCCGTTACTGCCACTGACTCCAGAACCGTTCTTTCCTTTGTAGGATAAATGAAGTCACATCTTCCTGCTGCTAGAGGGCGTAAAAACACCTGCAGCAATAAGCAGCATCACCACAAGATGCTAAACTACCACTTTTCATAAAGTATATAATGTAATATAATATAATATAATATAATATAATATAATATGATATTACATAATATAATATTAAATGACATAATGTGTGGTGTTCTGATGTGCGTGGCGTGATGTGTTTTGATGTGTTGTGTTGTGATGTTATTATTATTTTCTGATTTTATTTATTACTTTTCTTACCCTTTTCTTTCATGGATCAATTCTTGATTAATATTGCCACATTATTTATGTTTTATTTCATGTATTCTTGTTATGATTTCCACTTTTATTTTATTATTCTTTTATTGACTTATTTTTGTCATGAGGCACTCTCACTACTTTCTACTAAAGTGGAACAATGAATAAACTCTCTATAGCCACACATTGACGTTAGTTAAGTTCTGCCTCTGGGCAGCTTCAGTCTCTGACAATTATTCACAAACTCGAGCAGGTCAGATGTTCAATCATCGCTGCTCATTTAAACCAACCAGACAGATCCAGTTGGTTTTAGTGATTAACGTCCAGCAGCTCACATGAGATAAA